TATAGCAGAGGATTTCGGACAAGATGTGTCCAACTAGGTCGCCTTGACGACACGACAAAATTGCTGCTGCCGGTGGGCCTTTCTCAGATCAAATTTAGGGTGGAATTGCCGGTAAGACGAGTTTCTATTTGTCATTGAAATCAAAGACGGTACCTATTTTTGATGTAAGGAGTCTGTGAGACTATCAATTTGTCTTTAAACACAACTTAGTTATCCCAGATCATAAATGCTGATTTAGCTTCACAGACTACTCTAATATAAAACAAACTTGTGTTTTGAACATAATTCTTGGAGCCCACTTTCAGTAAATAAAACTTGAAATTTGATAGTACAATCAAATCCATCACTTAAACTCATGTAAACTGTAATTGTCAAATACCGAAGAGCTGTTATAACTTGTAAATCACATCTGCCCAGTGACCTCCCACATACACACGCCTACACATAAATGAGGTGACATGGAGTGACGGAAGCGTCGCGAGTAATCACCGAACACGATGGAGAGATGCTCAAGAATTGCACCAGCAGGAAGGATCAAGAAGAAAATCGCGGTCAACCGCCGTTGTCTTGCGGTTAGATCAGGTTCATCTAAAAAATATGCAGCTACGCGCATTCTGATGAAGTGCTTGTGAAGCTAACTTCGTAGGCAAAGACCTTCGGACAAACTTGGACAAGAGTTAGGGATCATTGTGTGTTTGTCCGAGCTGATCATCTTTTTGAGTATAGCAGCCTTCGATGAAGAATCGTCTGAAGCAACTCTGACAAGAGCAAGGGATCATTGTGTGTTTGTCCGAGCTGATCACCTTTTTGAGTGTAGCAGTTTTGAGTGAAGAAAAGTCTCAACCAACTCGGACAAGAGCTACGGATCATTGTGTGTTTGTCCGAGCTGATCATCTTTTTGAGTGTAGCAGCCTTTGGTGAGGAAGTATCTCAGGCAAATCGGACAAGAGCAACGGATCATTATGTTTTTGTCTGAGCTGAACATCTTTTTTAGAGTAACAGCCTTCAGTGAAGAAGCGTCTACAGCAACTTTAAAAAGAGCAACGGATCATTGTGTGTTTGACCGAGCTGATCATCTTTTTGAGTGTAGCAGCTTTTGGTGAAGAAGCGTCTCAAGCAACTCGAACAAGAGCCATGGATCGTTGTGTGTTTGTCTAAATTGATCA